GTTTAGTCGGGCCCGTCACACCGGACTGTGACCATTTGCGATCTTACGGGGACTGGGTCGAGGTCAATCATGAGGAAAACTAGAGAAAAAGTCCCTAAAAAATTGCAAACTTGCAAGAGTTGATCTTATGTCGCGAGTTTTGCAACCATATTGCGTTTTTGTAGCGTTTTTGGCACGTGTGAACTGCGCTTTTATACCACTTAAGGAGATGTTACCTGTCGCTCAATTTTCTTATTAAATTGAAATACACGTATCTATGTTTGTAGAAACTGACACACCTTTTATTGTTTGGAATCTATCTTTAGATCAGTCACGCGTTTCATGTATAAAGTTCTATTATTCATTGACCATTCGAACTAGAGGGTCACTGTTTACCTGATGAATTATCTACAGGAAAATCATATAAATTTATTGAAATGATATAAAAAAGAAACGGGTCAGACTTAACAAAGAAATCAATACGCATGATTATAACATCACAGCTTGAAAACTTTTCTTTCACTTGAATGAGTAATTTTTCTTTAATATTACTTTTTCAAAATCAGATTTTTTTAACATTTTTCACCATTTATTACTTTTATCCATCTCTGACACGTGACGTCATGAATAAATCTCAGTTAAGGTAAATCACACGTGGCGTCAGGAACTTTTATCAGCCCGGTTTAATAGCAAGGTCTCGGTTAGCGAGGTTTAACAGAAAAGGAAATATGTAATAGTTTTAATATTGAAAGTCTGCGGTCAAATATAAACTTTCTCGCTCTTAATCACTTTAAAAAATTAATCAATAATCTTACGACAACAGTCACTATAATTTATATATTCTTTTCCCTACATTGAAAAATTTGAATAGCTCGAAGAATTGAAACATCAAGTCACTTTCATAAAAAGAGTTTATCTCCACAGCCATTGCAAATACAATCATTTAATTTTGAAGTAGAGGATAATGATCAGGGTGAATTTAAACTGAGTTATTAAGGCCCGATAAGGAGAAATGCGGGCTAAGGGTATTTTGGACTCGCCTATATTTTTCGAAAGAAAACAAGAATGTGGTGGAAAATTTGTTAGATTACCATGGAGACGATAATATAGAAACGAAATTGTATTCTAATTGTTATTACTATTAAGATAGATGTGTATCTAATAGAATCCATGGGCAAATGATAATTCTTAAAAAAGTTTTTCGTAATCGTATCGTGGCATGTCGTATCGGGATATATCGTGCCAGCACTAGTATGGGACGGGAATAGACGAGGTTTTGTGTCCTCAACTCAAAAGTTTGTTTTTATTCTGTTTCTAGGTAAGGAGGCTAGATTCGTCAAATATTCATTTAATAGGTCACCGTTCACATCAGTTGAGCCAGGACAAATGTTAAAAGGTTTGATTGAATATATAGGTGGCCTCTAGTGACACGTGAAACGTGAAATTCAACTTCTTTTACTATTGTCATAAAAATAGTTTTAAGTAATTTTATACGTAGTGGAAATTCATGACTGAATTTTTGGAAACTATACACCGACATCCAGACAAATGTGTCACTGAAAGTATCTTGTCGTTTATTTTAGAAGCCAAAACTAGCTAAATATAGGTTTTATTTTTTAGTGTCAATTTAAGCAAACTATTTGATATTTCATGTATTCTTAATCATATGATTATGTTCTTTATTACAATTAATTGAGAGTTTGAAACAATCATAAATGTCCATGTACGTACAGTCTGGATAAACAAAAAAAGACTTTTTGACATTTCTTGATCGATCACTAATTGGAATTCTGCTGGTAATTCTCTTCTAATTTAGCTAATTATGAATTAATTATGGACATGTGAGACAAACTGGTATTTTCCCAAGTCATAAGAACACCTCTACTTTCTATTCATATAAGTATTAGCATTTTCATTTTCATAAATGAAAATAAGGGAACCCATCTTTAAAAGGTTAACGTAACATTTTAATGCGACCATGCTCTTTAGTTGATGTTGAACAAACTGCTTGCTTAACAATTTGTACGCTCAAACAATTTTAAAACCCTTCTAAAACAAATTTAGGTTGATCAAGTAGTTTCATACAAGTAATTAGCATAAAATAAAAAAATCGTAAGCTACTGGTTAAAAACACATGCACTGACAGGAATGTATGTAATGCAATGTATTTTTGACAAGGAGTAGACAAAAATGAATGAAATGAATGGAGTTTTACGTCCTACTCTTCTGCACCTTGTGGGCTAATGAAGACGGGCAACGCCATGCAGGGTGCCATGAGGGAAATTTTTGCCAGGACAGCGGCATCAGCCTGCTCTTTTTTCGATTTCCAACTGTCGAGGGATCTTTAACGTGCACAGCCTGTAGCACACGAGGCCTCGGTTTATTGTCCCATCCGAACGACTAGACGCTTTTTCCAGACAAGGAGTAGACAGATCATTCTGATCGAGGAAGACAACCTCTGAAATACTTAAATTGAATTCGCTTCATTTTCCTAGGTAGAGACACCCCGGGACCAAATTTCTTGGGGAATCTCTTGAACACTCTGTCTGCCTTAAATACCCCCTCGTACACTCTATAAGGAGTCTTTTCTCAAAACAGGAAAAGTCGGACATATAACTGTATATCGACTGTAGAATATGCCTGATCTTTAAAAAAATTACAAAAAGGAACATTTTGTTACTTTGTTATAATGATATAAATTCAGTCTACGAGAGAAATTTCCTACCTTTTTCCATCTTTAGTTTCCTCAAATACGATTTACAATCCCTTTTTGGGCTATAACAGTTTTTCATATAATTTGTCGACTTGTATGTGTGTAATACTGTACCATAGTTACTGTAGTTATCGTTGTATAGCTTTACTAAAGAGTAACCTGTCAGATAGAGTAGTAGGTTTTTAGTATTGATAATAAAATCTCTATTAAAATTCAGTTACTTGGGATCTATATCAATCATAAGTGACAGAGTATTCATAATGAAAAGTGGTATCAGGTGTCTAGAAGTGTAAGCACACCCTGCCTTATAAAATCGGTATAAATATGGATTGAATGCCCTTTCACTCGTTAGTGATTTCATCCAGCCCGAGTGATGTACCATTCTTCATTTCGATGTTCGTATTTCATGTTCAGGTTTTGGTTTATTTAGGTCTAATGGGTTATTCTGTAAACATATAAATAAGATTTCTCATGTTCATGTTGTTCGAGGAATTGTATTTCAGTCGATTGTTAGAGGGTTTTTAAAAAAATAATCCGTCCATTTATTCGGGGTGATATCAATTTTCGGGGAAGCACTCAGCCGAAACCTTGGTCCACAAATTTATGGGACATTTTAGGTTTTCAACTGTTTTCACGTTGTATTCACATGTATGTTTTTTACATTCGTTTCTAAAGAAAGTTTTTGATCTTATGTATGTATTTATCTAAATCTTCCTCCGTTTATAGCAATTGGTGGGGGTGGGGCAGGGGGGAGGGGGGGGGGGGGATTCGTCCCCTTGCCAACCATCCACTCTCCTTTTCAGCCGCCACTTGTTCACCATTCTGGCTGTTTGAAAATGTAATTTCATGTTTTGAAAAATAAATATTTCATTATCATATAGACAAAGATATATTATTTTGTATTGGGTAATGTGTACTTCCTCATATGAAAAGTTCATTAGTTGCTACCAATGTTTCGCCAAAATATTGTTTTAGATTTAAGGTTTCGTTTTGCGGTTCGCATCTTTAGGACTTGGTAAGCTTTTCAACATATTCAGTAAAGAATTATTTTCCTCAGAATTTGCCAAAATATTAATATTCCCGGTGTATTAAAAAAAAAAAGATGAACTGTAAAGGTTACCTCTCATCCCCAAGATTTTTACATAATTTTTAAAAAACAGACGAAGGGAGTTTTAACATGATTAGTGCTAATCGAACTGGTTTTTAGAAAGAAAAACTCATCAATAATTAATGATTTCAGTCTATCAGTATCTAAAAAAAATATATCCAAAAAAAGTGGCAGGTTTTTTGTTTATGCGTGGAAGTTGGTAACCAATTGTCACACGCCCATTTGTTATATACGGTAACACTTTGTGCACCTATAATTCGTGCACCTAAACTTCCTTACTTACCCTTTAAAGATGGGTTTCCTTATTTGTTAGTGTTAAGTTAGTGTCAAATTAAGCAAACTATTTGATTAATTGGTGTTTCTAATGAATTATCATGTATTCTTAATCATATCATTATGTTCTTATTGCATAAAACTAAGAGTCATAAATGCCCATGTATATACAAAGACTTTTTGACCTTTCTTGATTGGTCACTCATTGGAATTCTATTGGTAATTCTCTTCTAATTTAGCTAATTATGAATTAATTATGGACATGTGAGACAAACTGGTATTTTTCCAAGTCATAAGAACACCTCTACTTTCTATTCATATAAGTTTCAGCATTTTCATATTCATAAATGAAAATAAGGGATCCCATCTTTAAGGTCGTTGTATAATATACATACAGTGACAGACTATGGACTTAACTTAATGCGTTAGAAACTGCGAAAAATATGAATTCATTCCATAAAATCAATGACGGCCAGTGTAGTATACTTCAGAAAAAACACATGAAAATCAACTTCTTATTTGGTTTTCATTTGTATATAGGCACCAAATTATCTGAATGATGCAGGAGTTTTCGATGGAAAGAAAATTAAATGAATGGAGTTTTACGTCCAACCTTTCTGCACTAATGAAGTTTGTAATGACGGAAAAACATCAGATTGGCCTGCTTTTTTTCGATTTCAAATCGTCAAGATCTTGTCTCATCCGAACAACAAGACGTTTTTCCCTTTCAGCCATCTATTCCAGTCGACCCATCTGTAAATGCCTATGGATGATCCGGGACAGATCAATGCTTAGAAGTTTGGCTAAAGACCAAATGGTAGAAAAGATCCTTAATTGTGAACCTAAGTTGTGGTCCCTGTAAAACATAGATGTTTCTTTCTTAACATGCATCACTGACCAGGGGAAGCTGGGTAAAGAATACAGTAATTGAAAGACTCTAAGATAATAAATATTTATTAAGTATATCACAGTCAAGATAATAAAATAATAGTTATACATTGTATCACAAAGTATATTATATCAATTCTTAGTTCAGTTCAATACTCTAAACGATCCAGGTTACCTGGATTGGTAACATCCGTTCAGAAAAAATAGGGGATGACCTTGGAAAGTAATGAGCCCACAGTTCGAAGATGACTATGTTCTAGCTATAGGAACACCACTGTTTCAGGAACGAACTAGCTTAAATCATGTGACCATCATTGTCCAGATAGCGTCGTCTGGTACCATTATCAGACGCCTTCCATTATAAAACATGGATTGGTTCTTTTTTTTAATGCAAGCAGATTGGTTCAAAGATATATTATAATGAATGCTGATTGGTTAAACTTATACTTTTTTCTGAATGCTGAAAGCTGATTAGATTCTAATCCTGAATGCTGATTGGTTCAAAATTCTATCATGAATGCTGATTGTTTCAAATTTACTTTTTTCTGAATGCTGATTGGTTAAATTTTAATCCAGAAAGCTGGTTGACTTTTATCTAATCCTGACTGCTGCTTGGTTCAAAATTTTATCATGAATGCTGATTGGTTCAAAATTTTATCATGAATGCTGATTGGTTCAGATTTTACTTTTTTTTGAATGCGGATTGGCTCAAATTGTTTTTAATGTTTTGAACACTTGAATGTGATTGGTTAGATATCAATGCTGAATGTTGATTGGTTAAGCTCTAAAGTTCTATTATATATATGTAATAATGAAGAAGAATGACAATAATAAAAATATCACAGTCTCTCAGCAGTTTCTCACTGACATGATGTCATTAAAATATATTGAGTTCAGCTTCCATTCTGCATTCCTCCGCAGTTTGGGTAAAGCTAAACTTAAAAGATGTGTCTTTTACATTTAACAAAATTGGAATTAAAACACACTTTGGATGTGAAATCAGTCTGCCAGTGTAAAATAAAATATACAATTTGATAAAAATAAATAAATAAATAACAAACTTTGATCACTGTTAAAATAGTGCTCAATACATGTAATATAGAGCAATGGCTTCATTTCCAATACAATATACAAAACCCTTAAAAACAGCACACAAGATGTCTAATCATCTAACTGACAAAGTAAGGCCAGACCTCGTTTGATCCAATGTTCAACACTATATTCTGTGTTCAGTAAAATAGCCAGAACAAAGTTGGTAGAATGTCCAGTAGTGGATAATGTCCCCTTCCTTTCACTGGTCTTATAAACTGGACATTTATATCTATTGTTAGATTCGTCTATATCTACTTTACGATCAGGTTTTAACCAAACTATTGGCATAGCTTCGTTTAATATCTTCGGTAGCTGCTCTGCCAACATTCCTCTGTTAAAATACAAATATTATTATATAGTGTGAGAGATGAACAATAGCGTACTGGACTCAGAGGGTGCTGGTGGGCATACAAGGTAAGGTAGGGAGAACATCTAACCTCAGTCCAGCCCTTGGGTAAGGGTTTCGTAAGAACATTGACCATTACAATCCTTGCACTGATTTAATTTGATGCCACACATCAAAGGGGCAGCCACTATCCCTGCTCTCAGATCAACATTGGGGGTAATCTTACATTGTCTCCAGATGCTTAAATTTCTACCTTTACCCCTCTCCATGTTTAGTTTTCAGGCATCTTAAAGTTTCAGTTAAAATGATTAAAATAAAACATGAATTAAGAAGAAATATGAACAATAGAGTTTAGAATATCAACTTACGTGTTTTTGTCCCAACGAGCACCATCTAAGAACAAGCCGTAGATATAAGCGCCATCTTCAGGAGCTTTGTTCGAAGAATCAATCGGGAGAACCTGGAAAATATTGATTAATTATGAATCTATCAAACTGATTGGTCAATATTATGATGGGAATAAGATTAGCCAATCAGATTATAGATATGGTAATCAGATACCAGAACCTTCGTTTAAAAACTTTCAGAGAACAAATCCGATCATCAGTAAATTAGAAAGACAAAAACAAACAACTTTGGTTCCCAAAGCATCTTTTCAACCAGCTGGACCTTGGCCAAACTTCTTGGTATTGATCTTTCCCAGATTATCCGTACCCATTTACAGCTGGGTCATCTGGAATAGCTACTTCCAATGAGAACTGTTATTTTGGATTTCAGGTTTTGTTTTGCAGTTCTGATTGTTAGAACTTGGCAATACATTGGAAATCAGATATCAAATACTAACGCTAACAGAATGTGTTTAGATACAAGAATCTTCAGGTACAAACTCTCAGACAACAGACCTTAGATTTAAAATTATAGCAAGGTTTTACTCACCTCAAAATCAAAAGCCAGTTTATCAATAGGGATGGTATATTTTCTAGCGTAATTCTGCATGACTCCAGTCAGGAAAGCCTGGGTAAAGAAAAACCCTGACACCCAGAATGTTGGAGGCTTCCCATTATCGTACCATTTCTAAAATACAAGTGAAACGATTGTGTTAAAAAATAATGGCAAAGTCAAGAAGTCTACAATGAGGAAAATTTCTCAAGACAGTGGTGGTAGGTTCTCTTCTTTGATTTCCAACTGTTAAGTGTCTTAAAATTAATTATTGACTAGATACCAGAAGTTAAGGTAGTATAAAGATACCAGAATTAGATACGAAATTTTCATGGTGAGGCTGTGAACACTATGACTGTTTTACATAGCTAAAAAAATTCCTGTGTCTGAGACTAAGGTATGATTGGTCAAACAGATGGCATACAGTTTCCAACATGATTTGAACTCAGAGACATATAACATAGAACTTTGAAAGGTTCCTTGAATAATTTACTAACCTGTAAGAAGGAGAGTCTTTCTAAGAAATCATTAACGTAACTGCCCAGGGGTTTCAGTGAGGGGTAAGATCGCTTAGCCCAGAGAGCGGGCAGTCGACCAATCAACAGACTGCTAGCTAAACCTTCTAGTTCGGCTGACATGACAACTAAACCTTTAATAGCTTTCTGGAGATTCTGTAAACTTGTTCTGATGATTCTTAACAATCTGTAATAAAATAATGATTGACAGGTTAGTGACAGGTAGGATCTCAACATTTTCAAACAGACGGAAAGTCTCAGAAAAATCTGTTATAACATGTCATGATCATAACTTAAGAGCTCAATAATTTTAAGGATGCAGAAAAGTATCAGACAGGAAAAACTCTTTGTGTCATCTTGTAGGTATCGCTGAGTCTTCATCGATGTAGATTACATCCATGGATGTATGAAATGGAGTTTTTTTCATCGCTATACACTCTTGAGGCTAAGAAGATAGGAAACATCTCAAGTAAGGTTATAGTTTTTTCTATGGAATAGCAAGAAAAGGAGTTTTATACCCTACTTTCTGCACCCCTAGTGTTAACAGTATGGGGTTTTACATCCATCCTTGTACGTAGACGTAGTTTTGAAAACAACCAAAACCATGCAGTGTGCAATGAGGAAAATCACTGAATAAGAGTGAAAGGAAACAGAATTAAACTTACACGTTGAATCTTTCCATCTCTTGAACTAAAACAGTATTCATACTTTCATTATAAACTACCGGATATTTCCTTGTGGCTTCTTCAATATCATAATCTGGTGGTAACTACAAAAACAATAAACTTCACTTATAAAACCACAATCATGTTTTGGGAGAATGGTTGTAACATTGCATTGAAAACAATATTACGAAAGCACCGGTTTGTTTAGGATGACCATAGACCCACATTAAGCTATGGATTTTACATGTACCCAACAAGACAAGACAAGACAAGACAAGAATGCATGTGCATAGTAAATGTCCCAAAATTAAATTTGCAGTCAGTCATTTTGGGGTTCCCATCAGACAATTACAGAGGCAATTACAAAATAATCAACAGCACTGGTCCCTAATTTCATGTACCAGATGTGTGAACTTCACCGACATGTTGAATTGAAGGAGTTGAAGTGAAAAGTAAAGCCAGGCAGTGTACAACGAGTAAAGTTTCACCTGGCCACGTATTCTCGAAACAATCTTAGCGCTAGGACGTCCTTGTTTCTTATCTTCTAACATTGATTCTAGGATAACCTAGCGCTAAGATCATTTCGAGAATAGGTGGCCAGGACAGCAGAATCTACCCATACCAAGGTACCAATGAGTAAAAGTTTGTGTAATTAGTGAAACCACCATTCCAGTTGAAGACAATCATAATTACCTTAGATAAAATATCCTTGGTGATCTCGGCAAGTTTTTCATCTGTTTTACCCCCTCCAGATCCTCCCCCACCCCCTTGGGTGAGCAGGACAGAATCAAACAGTAACTTCGTTTCCTGTAGTTCTCTTGCTATATCTACGTTCTCATGCATTCCAAATATTTCGGGTTGTTGGTTGTTTGGTAGTGCCTACAAAATAAAATCAATGTGAATTGAAAAAAATATGGAGATAGCTTGTGATAGTCTGATGACCTTGAATAAGTCATCTTCACTTATAATTCCACTCAACCCAGCTGTAAATGGGTACGAATTATCCAGGAAAGATCAATGCCAAGAGTTTTGGCTAAGAACCAGCTGGTAGAAAGGATGTCAGCCTGTCAGACCGGTGGAAACCAGATTTATCTTGATCTATAACAGTACCAGATCAGCAAGCAAGCGTCTAACACACACTGAAAGCAAGTTGAATGGCATCAAGTGTTTCAGAAGGCTGAACAAACATTAAAAACAAAATGCCAAATATCCATTGAATAAAAAGTTGTGACTTCAGGTCGTGGTTACAGATATATTGAGTTAAATGAACGTCAAAGGTGTTACATATTTATTCATTTACTACATTTAGTGACGTGAATTTCTGAAAACTTAATCTAGGATCCCATTTCATCTTCCTATCAGGTGATTGTATTAAATACACTGCATAAAGCTTGATTATAACTCACCTTAATAAACTCTACGTAATCCTCATAACTTCCTTTAGGGGGTGCGTAATAATTTCCACTGGGAGAGAATTTATGTTTAGCATCGTAGATAACGTGTGGATTGTAGAAATCGGAGAGTATGGTTAATAATACACGCCTATCCCAATCATCAGTGACACGCCCTCCGTAATTACACTCTCCAGTCATATACGATATAGCCTCGAACGGGACCTCATCATATTCATTGATAAACATCTACAAATAAACATAGAATAAAATTTATATTTCAATTGCCAGACTTGGGAAGGAGATTTCACAAGGTAATAGAGGATAATTGAGAATTTAGAATATAAACAACACAAAGTGAGGAAATAAACCTATCATACCTGTAACTGTCTGATTGAAATACGTAAATCAGACTCGTTAAAACCGTAGGGAATATTCCAACCTAACGGTCCAAACTTCTTTCTTTCTTGTGTTAAAGCATGGAAGAAACACAGACCAAATAATAGTTTCTCAAATTGCTGAAAAAATAGAAAGGGAAAAATCATTCATGGACATAAAGAAGATTTATTTTACTTGGGTCAGAATTAGGTCTATTTCACCAAAGTGACATGGTCCTGTCTAACATTCAGTCCATAGGGACAAACATAGACTCAGAATTAGATCTAAGAACACTTACCAATTCTTTTCCTTTACAGCCTTTAAAGAAAGTGTCATCACTGATAGGATCATTGAGGTAAGATTGTAATAAATTCTGTCGTAGTCCAGTAGGTGGTTCATTGGTCATCTTGACACCATTCTGTAGCACTGTTACTGGAAACTAGAATCAGGAATAGATTTTTATCATACAATTGTTGGGTTTTTGATGCTCGTGGACATTTTTTCTTATGTTTAAGATTAACATAAAAATTTGTATGTCCTGGGATAAGTTTGAATTTATAATCATGCATTTTAACTCATATATAGAAGTTTGGTTCAAACACAAGGAGCTGATCAATCAGCCAAGAATATTATTACATGTATTGACAGATTATAAATTAAATATGTTCTAGAAAATATACTACAATTATACAATATGGTAAAATATTTACATTCAATAGTCTGCTAGTGAAATAACAAACACAGTGAGAAAAATCATTGCCCAGTAGACAAACCTTAAAGATGGGTTCCCTGAAAATGGTAATACTTATGAATAGAAAGTAGAGGTGTTCTAATGACTTGGAAAAATACCAGTTTGTCTCACATGTCCATAAATGAATTCATAATTAGCTAAATTAGAAGAGAATTACCAGCAGAATTCCAATGAGTGACTGATCAAGAAAGGTCAAAAAGTCTTTTTTTGTTTATCCAGACTGTACATACATGGACATTTATGACTGGTTAAAACACTTAATTATATGCAATAAGAACATAATGATATGATTAATATGATAATTCGTTAGAAACACCAATTAATCATATAGTTTGCTTCATTTGACACTAAAAAAATAAGGCAACCCATCTTTAAAGTCTTTTAAAACTGGGATTAATAAAAGTTAATGTAATTGATGTATTGACGTACCTTTGGGGAAGGATAACTAGTAAGCCACAATCTAAAATCTTGATGAGTATTTTCTGGGACGAAATCTTCACAGACTTTCTCCAGCGCGGTCATCCAGGACACGGCTAGATGACAATTCTGTAACATTACCCACGTTCCTTCTTTCCTAGCCGCTTCTATCATCTTGGCTGCTATTGGTCCCTGAAAATAACACATGTAAAAAAAAAATTAATACATAGAGCTGGAGTATGAAAGAAGGGTGGATTTTTTTTAGGACCCCTCTTGCTCTTGGAAAGATGCCTTGATAAACATTGAAGAAATTAATCAATCCCACATTGTTTCACTCTCATTTCCATTAAAAAAAATCAGATCTAAAAAATGTTGATACCATATTTAAGTGATTTCTAGTCACGTTCATCAGACTTGATTCATTTGTTTGTAAAAATGTCACGAAAATAGTAAAAATTTCCAGTCTTACCTGCCCTTGTCCCAGAGAAATTGAATTAAACTTATTTCCACCAAATCCTTTATCTTCTGCGAACTTCAATAAACTCATAGTGGGATCAGCCCCGGGGGAGAGGATGAAGATGAGAGGCGTACACTGACTGGAGTCAGCATAACTCTTCGCTAAATCAAACGGAGGAGGCTCAACAAATTTTTTACCCAATTTCTCCATTACAAAATCTGTGATGGCAGGAACAATCTGAAATTATAGCAGACATTTTATACAGAGATGAAATGAACTAAAGTTTCAAATTTATGGGCAGACTAGAAATTTGATGCCACCATTGCAAATACTGTGTAGCATGCCCTCTCCGGCCAGGACAACAGTGAAGGAATTTGATTGGTAAAAGCATAGATCATTGGGTTAAGTTAAGAGGTTATTCTAACGAATGTTTAAGAGGCCAGTCTTTAGACCCTAACTGAAGTGGCCATATTGAAATATAAGCTAATAAAAAATGGATCAAAAGTTTGGTCTAATTTTAATTTGACTGGATGATGATCTGACATTGGAATTTGATTTATTGATTTGAGGTTCTACCTTATCTGGTCTGATTGTTCTTAATACTATCATTCTCTGGAAGTCATTTAAATCATGTTGCCATGGATCTGGTAATTCTGTCTTGTGTGGTTCCTTAGAATTATAGAACTCTTTCCATTTATCAACATTCTTCAAGAAATGATCCCTAAAAAATGAAATATTATTTTTACCCCTGTAATATTTCAAGTCTGAATCTGCTAGTTTTGTTGAAGGAATATTATTACCTTAGAAATTTGTTCAAGAAATTACAAATATACAAAAGAAACATTGGTTATTGAATAAAATTAATACAACTTCTAACAATATCAAAGAAGGGGCTTAAAATTAGGAAAGCAAAGTACAGGAGATGATCTGTCAAGTGTTTGTTCAAAAGGACATTTTCCAAAGGCATTGTGACCAAATAATGAGTCAATGAAAAAACTATATCTTGGTAGGCTAGGACAAATAGGTTGCTCATTGCAATCATACTAGTCTTGATTAACAATACTAAAAATTCTAGGTGATTATGGCAATCAAGATATACATTATATTTCAATTTCTCGTGCCTATGTTTGCCTTTTTAACATGCAGAGTAAGATGTTTAAATATTTCTAAACCAATCTGTCCATTCTCTATCCTAGAATGATGTGAAATTATGATTCTGGCCACGTATTCTCGAAACGATTTTAGCACTAGGTTATCCTAGAATCAATGTTAGAAGATGAGAACCTAAGACATCCTAGCACTAAGATTGTTTCCAGAATATGTGTCCTGGTTTCTAATATTCTAATTCTAAATTTGAAAGTTTTAAAATGTTCTTTACAATTAAAGACACAGTCTTTAAGTCTTCAAAATATTTCTGACAGGGAAAAAACCATACATTTTGTCATTTCGGAATGCCTTAAAGTTATCATTTTATCTCTAAATTTCTAATCCTATGTTCACTCTGGAAAATCTTTGATCATTTTTTTTCACAAGTGTAGACAAATACCAGTGGTTTGCTTGAATTCTTTCTGATCAGATCGCTGATTGTAATCTTATTCTCAAAAATTCCCTTTTACTAGCTAACTACATTAGTAAAATACTATACTATTCTTTTCAAAGTGTACGCTTTGTGATGACTATATTATACTACTCTATATTTCATACAGTCGTCTAAATATCTGATTTACCAGCTGATAAAACTCAATTCTACCTATCCATAACACTTTATAAAAAAGAACTTTGATGTTTGGTTAGTCAAATTGATAATATCTCTATCAGATGATAAAACAAATATATTGACTACTTAATTATTCAAAAGTGAAGTCATATCACTTTTTCTCATGAAAATTCTATGTCCCTCTAAGAACAGTGAAATAACATCTTCCTATAGTACATTCCTATCATTTTATTCATTCCAAAGAGAGTAAATATCTATTTCATTCATTCCAAAGAGAGTAAATATCTATTTTATTCATTCTGTACCCAGTGAAGAGAGAATGCAGTATAATAAATAATCTCTATACATGAGATCAACTCACATCACCTCCATATCTCCTGTATACCCATATTGAATACTTTCAGTGTAATATATAATTATAGTTATAATGACAGGAATTCATAAAATATAATAGTTTAAATATTGAATAGCTTCAAATAATACTATATTATATAATATAATGGGATTTACAAATCTTGTTTTGAAAGAACATAAGTCAATATACCTAAATTATCTACAAACAAAATTTCCTATTTAATTTTCTATCTGTTCCCAAGGTTACCCAACCATCTCTCTTATTCTCCTCTACTTAATCCTTTTCAGAGTATATGACCAAATATTACACAAACTTAATACAAAAAGGTCTTTTAACTGAAACAACAGAAAAAATCATTAAAAACTCACCTAAATTTCTTGAAGTTGTTCAAATCGGACATTCGACAGATTTCATCCCATGATTTGTCTGTCAACCAGGTAGGGGCAGGATTGGCCAGTTTATTTTCTAGCCCCACCCCACCAGTCAGGAAAAACATGAATTCAATTTGATCTAATTCATTTCGTGATCTGAAAATGAAAATAAAATATTAGATTCTAAATCTTTGGGAAATTGAGATTTAAAGGGATTAGTTGTCTAATTATTTAGTTTACTGATCAAAATGAATTTCAGCTTATCGCGGCCTTATGTTTGATTTCAACTTGAATAATATCCAGTTATCTTCTTGATTTCAAAATTTTAAATTGATTTTGATGTTTTGGCCAATCAAATGTAGAATCCTTTTAAGTAATAATAATAATAATAATAATGTCAATAGGACTCTTGTATCACTATTTTGAAGAATAAATAGGTGATTACATCCCTTTGATATAAAATTCCATTAATTAATGAAGGTATATATCTGTCTAATCATTGACTTTTTCAACAATCTGATAAACAATATAATTTGACAACTGCATTACTTTAAGTTATATTTCATTTAAATTTCTAATTTTTTAGATTCACTTGATAAACGCTTTTTAGAAATATCTTCCAATATAACATACTACTGATATATCATATATTATCATTTTACAACAGCAATTAGTAAAAATTCAAAAATTCGTTATGATATAAAATTAATTAAAAATTGTGTTAATTATTACTTATTAGATATTTTAAATCATATTATTTAAAAAAACAGCTAAAAAAATTAATGCACAGAGACAATATGTTTATTTTAGTATTTGAAAAGAAAAAATGAAAAACAACACAACAAGGTTAGTTGTAAGGATACTGTATAATTGCGAATATAGTGCGCACCCTTTTTTACCATTGACTAAATCTTAAAAAATTTCTGTCACCATGGATACAGAAGAAACAGTCAACAAGTTGGCATAAAGCACACGAGATAATATTGAGTGGTAATATGGCATCATCCTACATTACTGAATCCTAATTGTGATTCAGGGTAAAAAAAATCCTGTGCACTATACACACAAAATATACAGGAGAAATAATATAAAAATATACAAACACGAACTTCATGCAGATTAGATAGTCAATATTTTAGTCCTCTCAACTCACAACAAATAACGTCAATTTAACACGGAAACGTGGACAAGTGTGATATACTTACGTTAAAATATTGGAACAAAGAATAAATGAAAATAGAAGTTTGTCTTTTTCAAATAATGACCTACATACATTACAGTATAAACTGAATGTAAAGTGGTCAGACAGATAGCGTAAACGTTTTTCTAATATCTTCGATTTGTTGCTGGAAATATGGAAGAAAAAAGGGAAAAATAAGAAAAAATGCAAAAGGAAAAGAGAAAAGAATCGAGGGGTCTGTCTGTCAAAAAACCTTTTCATGTATTTCTTGTGAAAAGAGAAATTCTTCTCACAATTTTTATCAAAAGATTTTTTGAAACTGAGAATTCAGAGCTGTGGTTTTGCTAGTCATCTCTGACATGGGTTTTAAAATAACTGACTGTTTGTAATGCAGTTTTTCAATATTGACAATTTCCAACCAAAATATTTGCATCAACTGAATTCACAGTCTGATAGAAATGGTTTAAACCCACAGCCCTGAAGGGATCTACTGATATAGGGGAAAGAAGGGTAGCTACAATAAAAACACATCTACATAAAACTGCAGGCAAATAAGATGCTACAATAAGAAGTAAAAAAGACAGGTTTAGGTACAGGAAACATTGATCTCTGAAAGGATTGCTGAGTTGATAAAATAGAGCTAAACTGGACAAATATGCCAACATATAAAAAGGCTATAAAATAGAAATTGGTAGAATAGATAAAAAAGACAATATTTAGGAAAATTTACCAAAGACCCATTAAATATAATATGATGCTACATGCAGGATACTGAGTTGGGATATAAATGGATACATATAGATATAAAAGGTATATATATATATATATAATAGGGATATAAGATATACTATGGTTATACAACTACATATAATTACTACAATATATATCCCAAGCCTCTATGCCACTTACAATTGTTTAGCACATAGGTAAAAGGAGAACACCAATTTATGTTTTGCGAATAGCGAACGACACACGTTGTCATAGAGTTGGAATGAGAAGTAATCTCGTAACCAACGCAGTCGCTTCTCTAGAATCTTGGATTTATTACTGAAAATAATTCACATGTTAGTTGATACCTTAAAAATAGTAAATTGAATGGAATTTTACTTGGTTGCATTATGTTAAACTTAAAACTTCAAATGGAATTTTACATCCTGTGGTTCTGTGTCTTATTAACTAATGAAATTAAATTCTTCAGGCATAAAGCCAATTCAAATTATATTGTACTGTATCTTAGGGTTAATCCAATGGAGGTTTTTCCATATTACTGTATTATATCTTTTGGGCTAATGAAATAAAATAAAGTTTTCCTCCTTCTGATATTCAAATGAACTAACGCAATCAGACAGACTTTCACAACCTACTGTATTGCATTGGAGTTTTACATCTTATTGTTCTACACATTATTGGGCTTAACTCTGAATCAAACCCCTGGCCTACAGATCCAGGAGCAAGCATGTAACCCCCTCACACACACTGACCCCACGCCAGAATAAAAATAAAGACTGTAGAAGAACTAACCTGTCGTGGATGGACATTATAAAGAGGTTGACAAACCAGGTCAGGGAATACTGATACATAGGATCTATATTGGGAAGATCAGTTATAGAGAAAAACAAGATGGAGGAATGTTTAGCTATTGGTCTGTAGCCCATTCTAGATGTTTCTATCTTCTTCTCTGTTTCATCTGCTACCTACAATATTTAAATATATTACTATTACAGTCTAGTCTGCAGAAAGTGGTCATACAATGTTCACTGGGGGCAATTGCTTAATAAAGACCATCCAAGCTTACAGTGAACATTTTGGGCTAGCAGTTCTTGATTTGGCTAGCAAAGACAAGCTATTCCATGCCTTGTGCTTTGAGGTGTTTTTACCAAAACAGTTCTAGTAGCTTACTCTAATATGATCCATGACTCATAAGATATCTGTGTCATTCACAACCAGAAGCACACAGGGCTTAATCTATTGATCTTTCCACATAACATTTTAGAATTTACATAACTCCTCGCAGGACATAGAAAGTCTTTAATCCTATTATTGCCATTACGAAAATTTACCTTTTGTTTCTTGGAAATTTCATCTGACAAGATTTTGGATGAATCAAGAATTTTAATGGCTGATTCATCTTCCAAGATGTTTCCTTCTGAAGCTGACAGTGTGTGCAGGATTTTATCTTCAATTTCCTTCAGTTGTTTTTTATTAGCAGCACTGGTTATAATCAACGCTTGTCTTTCTTCTTCTAATTCAGGTCTAAAAATACATCATTATCTCCCTTTAGTCTTTGGATTATCTCCCATTAGTCTTCATATTATTTCCCTTTAGTCTTCAGATCATTTGCCCAATTAGGTGCTTAAATATTTCCTTCTATTATTCAAATATGAATTCAAAATTCGACTATTAGTCTTTCAATCATCCTATAGTCTTCAAATTATCTCCCTTTAGTCTTCAAATTATCTCCCTTTAGTCTTAAAAAAAGTCCTTTAAATGTTACCCTAGTGTTACATTATCTCCCTTTAGTCTTCAAATTATCTCCCTTTAGTCTTCAAATTATCTTAGTCTTCAAGTTATTTCCCTTTAGTCTTCAAATTATCTCCCTTTAGTCTTCAAACTATTCTCCACTTCTAATTTCTTTTAATTTTCAAATTATGTGCCAATGCCATTATTTTAACTAAAATATTACTGAAGTGTGTACCCTATACCCACCTTTCTTTAGCCACGACAATACCCAGTAATTGATCCTCCAACCCTTCAGGTGTTATCATGAAATTCAGCAGGGAAACTTTGGTAGCGACCTCTGGTAGGTAATGAGGGTTTCGTAGCTTGGACGTGATGTAGAATCGGAAATCAGCACTGTATTCTATCACATTATCTCCTAACCTTATCATATCTACTCCAGCTGTAATAATATACCAGAAAAAAATTATTAGAAATGTGGAGTTCACAAACCCAAATACAAATCAGATGTGGACTCTCTGAAAACCAAAGGAT